TTAATTAATATATACTTACAGTTAAAATTTTGAATTACTATCTAATTAATTGTAAAAAACATTTAAAACTTGCTATTCTATATGAAAAATTAAAGTAGAACCAAGAACGAAAGTGCAAATTATATGATTTATTTATATATACTAATTACATATTGTTTTCATTTGAATGATTAATTTTATTCTCTTCTATTTCTATTACAGAATTTTGATTATTTTTTTCTGCTATTTGATGCAAATACTCAGTTTTTTTTTTTTTCTTTTCTTCATGTTTCTTAGCGGCTAACACATATGAGGGTTCTGGTAAATTATTAATAAAAAGCTTTTCCAATAACCATTTTGCATTGCAGTTATCAGCAGAATGCTGAGTTTCACAAGCTATAAATTTAGCATTAATATTTTCTTCATCAAATGTAACATTACACTCAAATTCATTAAATTCATCATAAGCTAATTCTTCATCATCGACAAGTGAAAACCAACTATTTAGAATCTTATTCCATTCCACAAAAGTTTCAATTATATTATTATTTTTATCAAAGTCATATTTGTATGTTGATTCATTATCATTAAAATTATTTTCAAATGAATAATGAATCGGTAGTATGAAATTAAAACTTTTTTCTGCTTCCTTTTGAATTTCTTCAAGATGCTGTAGATACTTCATTTTAGTGCATAATTGACTCATTTCTAAAACTTTTCATCCTATAATTATAATAAAAAAAATTTAAATAATAATTAATAAATTATATAATTTATTTATTTATTTAATTGCTTACTCCTAATCTATTTCGTAATTTTGTATGAAAAAAACTCATCAAGAAAAACAAATGTTCTACAGAAGCACTATTTACTAATATACCATGAATACATAGTGCTACAGAACCTAATTCTGGCTTCATTTCTGCACAATGTTTCCAATATTTAAGAATATCTTCATTAAATTGTTTTCAAATACTTTTTGTAAAAGGAAAACTTTTTTCACGATATTCTTGAAGTTCAGCTATTAATGCTGTTGGTGGACAACCAAACCATGCACAAAAATAATATTTAATCTACTGTTCTAATTTAGCAAATGTAATTTCTTTAATTGGCAAATTAAATCGTATAAGCCGTATGTCTGGATATAATAAGTAGCTAAGAATTAAAAGTGGCTGTTCCCACTTTTTCTAACATCATTCTAGTCTTTTTTTCATTTTTTCACCAAATTCATAGTCTGAATATTTATTCATTATTTCATAAAGATATCCAAATGTATGAAGAACATTATATAATCTTGATATATCTTTTTGTAATTAATTAAGACAATTACAAATAGGAGCCAATAATAATTGTAATTCCACTATTGTCGACCAAAAATCAGGATCACAACAGGCTTACAAACAACTTCTAATAATGATAATTCATCATCTTCAGGTATAACGTATTTAGCTGCAAGAGACTATAATAATAAGAATTAAAATAAATTTTAAATTATAAAAAAAAAATAATAATAATAATATATATATATATTTAAAATACCACTAATGATGCTTTGGATTTTAACAAACTGCTAAATGCTTCACCATAGCTATTTCATCTAGTATCACAAGGGCAACATAAAGAAATATATCATTTATGTGCTGTTTTTTGCTCATCTTGAAGTTTTCTAATCCAGTATGTGTTATTAAGATTATTAAAAAATCTAATTATTTCAATCACTTTTTTTGATGCCTTTTTAAATTTAAAACATTCTTTAAAAAGATCGCCAACACACAGATTCATTTGATGAGTGAATAATAGGATAAATATAATATGCTGATGTTTAAGATGCAATCTACAACTATAAAATAAAAAACTTTATAAATATGTACATCTGTATGTATTAATTACCATTATATAACAGAATAAAACCTGAATTGCAAGCTAGCAAACCTGGTTATAAAAAAATATATAACTTACAGTAGATATGCTAACTTAATCTATGTAATAATTTTTACTAACTTACAAGTCAGGTTTTATCCTGTTTTATTGTTATTTACCATGCAGCTGCATATGCTAGTGCTGAATTAGATACAACTGCAACAACTTTAATTTGATTTTCTTTTAAATGTTCAAGAAATGTCTCTATTTTTGGAATAACTATGATCGTTCGGTCTAATTCTGCACTGATATCTTCAACACCCCATATTAGTACTTTACCATTCGAGGTTATTAAAATTTTTCCAAAAAATGACTCCTTATTTATATTTTTCCAACCGTCGAAAGCAAATGTTACACCAACAATATCTTTAATCACTTTTTCTTTTTGTATGCTATTTAATTGTTGTATCTTAACTTTTAGAATTCGTCCACCTAAAGCATGCTGACTTGGTAATTCGAGATTAGGATTTTTAAATTTAATTAATGCAATTGATCCTTTTTTGGTAACCTAATTAAAAGCTTAACCATTTGCGACAGTAGCATCTAAAACAAGTTTTTTCCAATTTTTTTTTTTAGGTGGTGTATATTGATGTGCTAAATGCAAGTCTATCATTGTTTGAACTATATTTAAGATATTTTATCTATAATGAGTTTTTTTTTTTTTTATTATTATTATAATATATAGAATAGATTACTTATAGAATCTGATATTTCTTGGTTTTTCTTTGATTTTGACAATAATTTGTTAAATTCATCTTTAGTTATAGAGTTTTTAAAATGTTCACAATTAAAGCAGTGCCTTTGTGCTTTTTGAAGTTGATTAACAAATGTCGCATTTAATTTGGCTTCTTCTCCAAGAATATTGTAACAAGCCTTACATATAGCCTATCTATTAACTTTTTTTTCATTAGTATAGTCTCTTATTATCAAATATGGTGTAAAATAATGTAGCTTTTTACCACCAACATGTCAACCCATTTTTTTTTAAAAAAAATCTTGCACATATGTATGTACCGAAAATCCAATTAATTATTAGTTATTTCATATTTATAGTAATGTTGCATATCAAAATAGAATCTTTAAAAATTCCAAATCGGTTAATGTAAAACTATATACATATAATGTTATAAAAAAGTCTATTTTTAAGTGATCGTTGATTGATAAACTACATAATTTTATATATAAAATTGGGTTGCATATTTTGGAATTCCAAGTTCTAATCGTAATTAAGCATTTGTAAATTCCATCTCTGATTAGACAAAGTAGGCTACATCACTCTTTTATTAATGAAATTATAAGATTAGATGTAACATAAAATTTTTGAAAAAAATTAAAGTTTTTCAAAGCTCGTCAGTAACCTAAAATTTTACTCAAAACCACCTTTTGTGTTCTAACAAAAAAAAATTCTTTGCAAAATTTTAGTATAATACATGTTTTATAAGACTTTTATACTTTTCAACAATATTTCATTATTTGATTAACTAAAAGCAGTATTTTTTTCATCCGCATATAGTACCAAAAAGAATTCAGAAGTGAATTAAATTATTATTTTTGCTTCTGCTTTCACTAAATTGAAATTTTAATGAGATCGCTTTAATGTTTAACAAAAATCATAATTTTCATAAAAGTCTAATATTACTACCGATCGAGGATGTAATCATATGACATTCCAACCTTAAGATTACTATCTAAAAAGAGCATCTTTTTGACTATGGCTAAAAAAACATAAATTACACTAATGTTTGCTGTCATTTGAAGGTCTAAAAAAGCACCTTTTTGATTATTGACTATGGCT